CTTCTCTCTCTCTCTCTCTCTTCCAATATTCCCATTTTTCTTATTTTTTTTCTTTCCTTAGTATTTTGCATTCATCATTTTCTCATTAATTTATGCATCAGTGCAACAATATGCACACCCCGAATATCGAGAATACCAATATTTCTTATAAATTAATCATTGCAATCAAAAATTTTTCATTTAATTGCTACCATATAAGAAAGTTATTTATAACAGTTATGGATTTTACTACAAATTTATTAATTATTATTTTAAATTTTAATTTTTATAATTTCTTTTATTTATAATTTTCTGTAAATTATAATTTTATATCTTATAAACTATGATAAATTATAATTTTTAATAATTAAAAGTGGAAGTGATTTCTTTTGCTCTCAATTTTTTAATAGCTAACTTATTTCGTTTATCACATTGAATTCCATAAATATTTCTAACTGATTCATTTTGGCTTATGTTTAACCGAAAGTTTGAATAAGTAATTCAATTAACTTTGATAGTTTACTTGATTGCTAATTATGTAATTAATTTTGTACTTAATGTAACTTATTTAGACGTACTTTCATATAGATTTCATTGCAATTATTTTAATTTTTGCTATTTAATATCAAAAATAAAATTTAGGGCTTAAATTTTTAATTTTTTATTATAGTTTCAAGTTTCATCTAATCTATTTAAAACATATCAAATTAATGATCAGAAAAGAAAACGAAGAGAAAAAGAAAGCGAAAGTTTAAAGAAATATTTAGAAAACTATAAATTATCAATGTAAAAAAAGAAATATCGAGAAAGGGTTAAAATACAATGTGTTATAATATTTGTTTCTTCTAAGATGCAGATTTCTTGAAAGGTGATATTTCTTTTCTATCGCTATCAATCATTCCTGATAAGTGTGATAAGTTAGATAGAATCAAAACTAAGGGCAAAATAATACTTTTAAGAATTAATTATGAGTTTTTATCTGTCTATTTTTGTGTGTGTTTCAATTTTTATTCATTGATTAATTAATTTATTTATTTGCTAATTGTATTTATTTATTTATTTATTTATTTTTTTGCTTATTTTTCATTTATTCCTTTCATTCATTTGACAAAATGTTTGATCTATAATTTATAAATCCTACAAGTGAAATATTATCAATGCATTGGTATAACTATTAAGCAATTTTATTACGAAAATTTTATCAATGACTTAACATATTGATTGATATTTGTGATTGCTGAATTTTTAGAAAACTGAGATATCTCTGAAATCAATGATTCTTAAATTTTATTACTTTTGAATTGTATCAAAAATCTTTTAACAATATAACTAAATTAATGTGCAAAATTATTTCTCATTTTACATTTATCGTTTCCGGTTAATCGTTATCACTTCTATGTTTTAGATATATTTTAATTATTTGATAAATAAACACAGTGAGTAATTATTGTGTTAAACAGGTTTTGAACATTTCCTGAAGACATTTTATGTTTGAAATGATCAAATCTATTAATAATTGCTATCATTCATTTTATCAATTTTATCATTCCAATATTAGAAGATAACGAATCATTTCATATTGATTTCATCTGAATGCCATTTGATTGTAATAAACTAAATAGCACACTCTACTATTAATTTTTCAAAGTAGTAGTAGCATTCTCGCATACAAATGTCAGTCTGTCCACAACTTTTGCTTTATAAACTTCTATCTACTTAGTAAATTTAAAATGGACAGCTGTTGTGGAAATTTCAATTCCACTTCTATCTTTTAATTAAGTTCTTTCGCTTAATTCTAATATTTTAATTTCGATTAATTGAAAGTGTTTCTTAATTTCAAAAATTGAATTTAACATTTAGGCAATTATTTCTTACTAAATGTCTTGATCTTCTTTCCTATCACCGACTAAAAGGGATAAACAGAGAGAGAGAGAGAAAGAGAGAGGATGAAAAAATTAAAATAATTAAGCAAAATAAATTATTGGGAAATTTAAAACTATGAATCAATTCCGGAAAGTATTGCTATTTTTATTCAATTAGTTCTGTACCTCTTCTGATATATGGCAAATTTTCACATACTGATACTTTTAATTGCCTTAAAAATTATCTATTAGTTTAAAAAAATATACATATATCTTTGATATTTTACAATACAATGCCAAAAATTAAAAAAAAAAAAAATTCGCTTACTTAGTTAATGGAAAAAAACAAACAAACAAAGCAAATCTAATATAATATAAAGTTCAATAAAAGCAATTAAAATAGTAATGACTAATAAATAAATTATTGGCAATTAATAAATAAATTTTGCATAAAATTCATAAATGATTAGTTTTACCCAAAAAAATTAAAAACTATATTAATTTTCAAGAAGGAAAAGAAAAAAAAATAAAAAGGATTTTCAATCTTTTACTACTATTTTTTTACTTAAATACTTGAAATTTCCATCATTTTAGATAATTAAGTGTCACAATTAAATAAGCCCTCCCAAAAAAAAAAAAAAAAAAAAAAAAAAAAAAAAAAAACAAAACAAAACAAAAAATTGGAATTTTAAAAAACAAAACGATGACGTAGTCATTTTATAGTTTTACCATTTTGTATTGTTTAACTTTTTCCATTACTTTTAATTGTATATTACTTTTGAAAAAAACCAGTCATGGACGTCACTCACTTTTCCATTTCCGTTTTTTTGCTGTTTTTTTATTGTTTACAGTTATACTTCTATCTCTCACAGTTATTATTATTAATTATTAATAATAAATTATTATTATTTCCATACTTACTTTCCGGTTATCACATTATTGTTATTATCATTATTACTATCGTTTTATCATAATTATCTTTATATTTATTCATTATTTTCACCATAAACACACACACACTGGGACTCATGCGATTACTCACAAATACTTTCTATCATTAGTAATGTTTATCGAATACTATCAATATTGTTATTACTATTCTATTATCACAGTTATTCATTAATTCTATTTTTAATTATAATAAATTTCGAAGTTTTCACAGTTTATCACTAAATTTTGATAGTCTCTATTACTATATTTTTCAAATATTTTCTAAATATGAAAAACTTTAAGTCGAATTTTCTTCCTATTTTAATACTGATAACAATGGTAGATATAATAATGATTATATAATGATTAACTTATGATAGATATAATGATGATTAAATTAATAATGATTAACTTATGATAGATATAATGATGATTAAGTTAATAATGATTAACTTATGATAGATATAATAATGATCAAGTTAACAATGATTATAATGATGATTAATTTAACTTATTTTTTCATATCAATAACAGTAATTGAAAAAAGAAAAAAAAAATTGTTGAAAATATCTGTTGTAATTTACTGCTATCAATCTTACAATCACATTTGTTTTATATGACGTATGACGTTACACTAATAGTTAACCTCTATGATTATACGTGATCGCTCACGTGTAAATGAAAGAAATATTAGCAATTCTTAATAAAATTTGGGTTTATTCGTTTTTTTTTTAAAGTTTCTTACCACAAAATGATAAATAACTTTTTTCTTCATCATCCTACTTACCTCTTTTTCTGTTTTTTTTCTCCTCTTCCAATGACATTAACCTAATTTTTGATACTTTATTGGTCATCCTTAAATAGATATCATAAGTGATACCTTATCAGAGCAATATTAAATAGTTACTGAATGATTAGCATTTTTCATTAATTTTTTATAGCTCTAATACCGTAAATGCTTTCATTTCAGATAAATTAATAATTTTCCTATTTTTTTTTTTTTTTTTTGAAAATTTATTAGTTTACATTATTATCAGAAACGTTTATCACTTATGCACATATGAAATTATCAATAAATTTCATTTTTTTTTTCTTTTCTTTGTTTGTATAGTTTTGCCTTTTTCAAACTTTTATTTTATTTTGAGCTTATCAAATATTCCAAATTTAAAGAAATTGCAAAATTAACTAATTTACTTATTTGATTTGCTTATATTACAATAAAATTTACTATTACTTTAGCTAAAATAAATTCTAGCTAAAAGGAGGAAAGAAATGAATGGCAAAGTGATTTAGTGCATATTTTTTAAACTTTTTTGATGAGATAAAGTAAAAAATTAGTCATATTAGTTTACTCTAAACTAATAATTAGTTTTATGTTTAGCTGATAAATTTTTACTGAAATTTTGAATTGAACTGTAGAAGGAAAAATTAATGTAAGTAAGCTTTTTAGCAATCAATAATTGAACCAATATTTGTTTAAATAAATAATTTTTAAAAAAAGCAAAAAAATAGTATCTAGCATGTTTGCTTATCATTATCAGAAGATTGATAACGATAAAGCAGTCATAAGCCTTCTTTTTTGCTGTTATCAGCAAAATTTCTTATCAGTGGGAACGTTTTAATTATTGCTATCAGTAATAACCTAATTTGTAATTTATGAATTAACTTATTAAATACTTTCAAAAGTCCGCCATTTTTTCATTCGAAATAAAATTAACATCTTTATCTTTCATAATTAATTCATTAATTAAATATATCAAATTCTGATTCTAATTTCAAATCAGCAAGCAAAACACTGTGAGAGAGTTATTTTTAATCAAAGACAAATTTATTTGAATTTAATTTTTTGTCTCTAAATGTAGAATAACATGATTTAAATATAAAGAATTTGATATTCAATTGTAAAACGCTTTTCCCGTAAGAATTACTTCATCAAATGTTAGGTTAAAATGATAATCTTTCATTTAGAACTCTTAAAGTTAAGGAATTAAAAAGTTTCCTTTTTTTTTTTCACTTGTTCTAATATCCTATTTTTGAATTTTTGAATGTAATTAGTTCATATTAATGAGCAAAAAAAGAAAAAAAAATGTTCTCAATTTTAAAATTTACAGGTTATTTCATGTATTTTGCATGTTTAATGAATGGTACATAATTTGTCATTGAAATTATCCAATAATAATTTAACAAAAAAATTGAAATGAAAAATAAATTATTTTACTTAAATTGCAGGACGATTCAGTCAGAGGAAGTCTCGTACTCGCGGGACAATCATTCGTGGCAATACGATGTCATCCAGTTCATTATCATCCAAACATGATTTCTCCTACACTGATAATGATTACGATTATTTTGTTAGTTTGTTTATTTTACACAAATTAATCAAATTATATGATTTTTTGTAAATGTTTTAAATTTATCATTACAGTTTAATTTTTGTTATATTTTATCACTTATCATCCATTTGCGTGGAAATGAAAGGAATGAATTTTATAATTATTAGTTCAAAAATAAATATTATAAAAAAAAAAAAATCTTAGAACTATTTTAACCATATTATAATATTAATTTTGAATTTGAACTTTGGATTTCAATGTTTTAATTAATTAATTTTGATCAAAAATATTTGTTATTTTTTATCGTTATTCTTATCTCATTTTCAAATATTTCAAATAATTTCAAATATATATTTGTCTTTTTTTTTTCATCCTTTCTCTAACTTAGCAAATTTATTTTTTGTTATCAAAAAATTTTAATTTTATCAGACAGAATTCATTTTACCATTTCAGTTAAGTGATGCACTGGTAAATGATATTGAAAATTTTGCAAATCACGCAGAACGATTGCGTCAATCGCTTGATCCTTCTATCAATGCAAACGGTTTATTTATTTATTTATTTTCTTTTGCATCTAAAAATATTAGTTAGAAATGAGGAATAAAAGGCCATAATTAAGTTTATCAAATTAAAGATAATAATTAATATAAAAAATTAACAAATTGATATGAAATTCTTTTCATATAATTAATTCTTAAAGAATGATATAACGAGTTTAAATTTTATGTATTACATTAATTATCCATTTAAGACTTATTAATACTTTTTGAATTTAAACTTTTAGATATAAATTTTATAAATAATTGATTTTGGTTAAAAAATAATTAATTTGATACAAATATGTTGGTCTTAAATAATAACAATTGTATTTCCCAAGTGATCATAGATTTGAGAATAACTTTATTGACGTTATCACGTATCTCTTCACGTATCTCTTTAATAACTATATCACGTAATTCAATTATTTCTTAAAAATTTGAAGTAATAAATAAAAACTTTATAGATGGTAAGTCAATGTGTGTATCGGTACATTCAGCACTTTCAATGGTATCACAAACAGTCCGTGATTTATTAGTCCGTTATCCAGCCTTCAAAACAACTCATGTTTTACTACCTGCTAGTCAACTAATTCACAGTGTTAAAGGTTAGAAAAAAAAAAAAAAAAAACGTGTTTATTAATTTATTTTAAATTCAAAACTGATAAATAATTCAAAACAATATTTTAAAAAATTATTATTTCTATTAATAATTTGAAATATCATAAGCAATAATACAATAATTACAAATATAATTAAAATTTTTAACATCAAATAATAAACAAATAGGTAATAAACAAACAATTTAATAATTGAATTTGATAAAAAAGAGAAAATCAAATTTTAAACCGAAAAAAAAAATTCACGTTTTTACGTGAAACAGTCTATTTAAGAAATACTTAATGAAATAATTAAAAGCTTCAAAAATATCCAGCAAATAGACTTATCCATCCATGCACATAAATCAGCACTGATTTTTCTAGAATTAAATTTTGATAATTCAAATGTTGACGCATCTCGAACACTTTCATGCTTGGAGAAACTTGAAGCAGCTGTTGGTAATACTCTCAAACAATCTTTGTTAGTTTCATCCTCTCTTACTGTAATTCATTGATTTTTCACTAATTTATCAGTAAGAAAGTATAAGTATACTTCTCACGCAAAAAACATTGTTGACAATTTTTTAATTTACAGGAGACCACGAACGACAAAATACACTACTGCTACGTTAGGTCACAAAAGTAAACATGTTCGTTATTTTCTTTTACATTTATTATTTGTTGATTTTTTTCATTGAACTTAATTGATAACTTAATTTGTAGAAAAAATTAAGATTTTAGAATGAACTAAAATTTACTAGTTAAACCTTTTAGCTACGTGGGTAGGACTTATTTACATAACATTTTTTTTTTTTCTTTCAAAAAAAAAGAATAAATATATAATTTCTAAGAAATGTTAGAATAATTTATTTCATAACAAATTTTCATTCTCTAATTTTCAACTTTCTTATTTTTCATTTCTTTTTTCTCTTCCGAAAAGAGAATTTAATTAGATTGATAAAGCTTTTCGCATGATTGCAATTATTTTTCATAATGATGTTTGTTCCAATAATTAGATAAGTTTACTTGCAATCAATAACGCTTATAAATTTAACTTCTGATATTTTAAATTGCTGTAGAAATGATTTATGACATTTTAATTTTTGAACTGTTGACTTTATTCAAAACTTTGACTTTAAAATGATGCATAGAACTTAAATTACCGATTATGCTTTGATGACTCGAACCAATCAGTGTTACATCCTTTAGGTTAAGCCAATAAGTTCCGTGATGTTCTGCTTATATCCATAAATGTAATTTAATTTAAATGGAAATATAGTTTGTAGATCAAAGTTTAACTCAAAATTTTCATTGTTTCTAGGTTTGATATCCTTCCGTAATTTCAAATTTATTTAATTTTCTAAAGTTTGGATTCAAATTTTAAAATGTGGATGCATCAAAACTATCCATTAATCTAATTAATTAAATTAAATTTTATAAGTTAAATTTATAAGTGAATTAATTAAATTAAATTTTATAATTTTATCATTAGATGGTCAAGAAATCGATATAGTTATCTAAAAAAAAAATAAAATGAAAGATCACAGAGAAATTTTTCAAATAATATGCAAATAAAAATTCCTTGTTGAATTAATTATTTGATTCTGAAAAAAAAAAAAATGAATTTGGAGAAATTTTTTTTTATTGTAATCAATCAAAAAATTAATTGAAGGATATAATTTTATTCAGTTTTTTGAAAAAAAAAGAAGAGAAACTGTAACATCCATTTTTCCAGTTTTACTCTATCGAATGACATTGCAGAATTAAGGAAAAATGTGAAAAGTGCAAAGATTAAATTTATATAATTAATTTTTAGAATATGCGAATATCAAATCTATACCTAATTAATTAGAACAACTTTTTTAAGTAATTAAACAAAATAATGAGGATATGAAATAATATTTTAATTTATAAAAAAGATGTTTTTGAATGATATGAAATATTTTGAGAGATAAAATGAAGCGAAAGAGATGAAAACGTAAAAAATGAAAGATGCACAAATACTTGCATTAATTTTTATCAAATAAAATCATAATCACAGCACTAAACAATCATTTTCCTTTTTTTTTTTTTTTTTTTTATTTTCATTTTTCACTTTTTACTACTTTTTATGATTAATTCAATTTCATTTTATTACGTTTTAAATTTCAATCAAACTTCATTTCTACCATTATCAATCATATCATATCATCCATCAGAATAACTTCACTTTTTATCACTTAAATTTCATAAACAGCATAATGAGTCCTTTAACTACGTGCTTATACATAATTATGTGCAGCGTACGCAACGTACGTTGCATATTTGTGATATAAATTATTCATGCAAAGCATCACTAAGTATTTTAATAAACAAATCATATGAATCATTCGAATTTTTTAATTACTACAACTTTCTTCTTCAAATTGATAAATCGATTAAACTATTAATTTAATTAACAAGTATTTGTAATTTAGTGTCATAGGTAAATTATAACAAAAAAAGAAATGATTAATACTACATGAAAATAGTAGAAAATATATTCTTAGCGATTGGAATAAATTTTTAGTCCTAATGTATTTATTATTATGGCATATTCCAACCAATTTATGAAATAAAACTTAGTTATTCTCTTTTTTTTTTTTAAAAAAAAAAGAAAAACTTCAAAATTTTTGTGCTATGAAAATTTTGATGTTATAAACTATGATATTTTAAAAGAATGAAAGAGAGTTAAAATTTTCAGGATGGTTTAAAAAATGGACGAGTACTTATTCGACGACATTCAGCTTTTCAACCAAAAAATCATGATAACTGTAAGTTTAGCACACATTTTTTTCTTTTTCTTTTTAGATTATCAAATTTAATACAAATTTAAATTTGTGTGCCTTTTAAAATGCTATTTGGGAGTGCCAGTAATTGAGTGTTTAAAACATATTTTGATGAATCAGACGAGTTGAAGTATAGATTAAAGTATGGGTTGAAGTATGTATTAAAGAAACATATTTATAATTATTGACTAATTTGTCACTTTTCTTTTCATTCAATCCTAAATCTTTTTCATTAACATTAATTTATTCATTAAATTTATAATTCATATTCAAAACTATTTGCTATTCAAAAATGCTATCTTATGTTTATGACATTAAAAAATATGTGAGCCAATTTAGGCTCAATTCCAGAATAAGTCAAATATATGAAAAAAAAGAAAGCTTAAAATCATATGAGAAAGATAAATAACCTAGTGAAAAAAAAAATTTTTTTTTTTAAAAAACAGTAATTTTATTCAGAACAATTTTTTAAAAATAATAAAATTTCATTTTCTTATTGCCTTTTCTGTTCCATCTTTTTTTTTTTTCACTTTTCTCCCTCCCTCTCTCTCTTTCTTTCTCTCTCTCTCTCTCTCCTTCTACTGTTCTGAAAATTTTTGATAAATACATTTTATTTCCGGAATTTGTTTTTTGTTGCATTTCGTTTACAAATGAATTGAATGAAATATATGTGATGTGTTGTGCTTTGTCATTTCAACACTTTTTCAGTCATAAGTATCATTCATTTTTTCTTTTTTTCTTTGTTTTTTATTTCTAAAAAAAAAATGAATAATAATAATTTCATTGGTCATATGGAAGAGTATTGATTGGGAAATGAAATGAAATAAAATAAAATGAAATGAAATTGATGTAAAACAAACAAATGAAACGATTTTTTTCCTTCTTTTTTTTTTTTGGAGGGAGGAGGGGGAGGAAAGGATGATGGTTAAAATCAAATTGGGTTTAGTTTAATCCCCAAACTAACTAACATTTCAATGTATATTTTCTCAACACTAAGTTTTTTTTTTTTTGTCAAAAAATTTGTCAGATTTTATTCTCAAAAAATTGCGCTTTATTTCGTTGAATGTCAATTTTCTCAAATCTCAATAATTTCTTTATTAATAAAATTTGGTATTTGCATATTTGGCTCAACAAAGCTATTTTCTTTTATTATAATTTTATTTTTATAACTAATTAATTCTACTAGAACACAGTAGATGCTATTAATGTGATAAATGATAAATAATCTTACCATTATAACTTTTCACAAATTTGTCATTCTTGATTCATTGAAATTTTTTTGCTCAAGAATGATTGAATTTTTCTTTTATGAAAATATTCAACAAACAATTTTATCATTACAAATTAGTATAAAGAAATATGATATGATATGACATTATCAATGTAATATAGTAATATTGTATTGAAAAATAATGAAAAAAAAATTTAAAGAAAAGTTAAAAATATTAAAGTTAAATTATTTTTAAATTATCTTCAAACTTATTCACTCAATTTATACATTCTGCACAGGTAGATATTAAAATATACCAAACACCAAATACATTATATATGTGTATGTGTGTATGTCTGTGTGTGTGTATGTCTGTGTGTGTGTATGTGTGTGTGTGTGTGTATGTGTGTATGTGTGTGTGTGCACAATTTGTAATGTATAAGAATATGTTTATAATAAACTATTTATTGCGCATAATGATGTTTGCTTAAATATGTTTTCCGAAAATATTATCCTTCTATCGCTGTGTCCCATGTCACCTCTTACTCTTACAGCTTCCGTTCCGTTTGTTCCCTCCGACACTTCGTCTTTTGTATATTTGATTTGCTTTTGTCAATTGCTGCTACTTTTACCTTTATCTAAGTTTTGTCCGATGAAATCCTGTTGTTGACTTGTTAGAATCTATTCATACCACAACTATTACATATTTCATTTTTAATGTAATGTGTTAGAAGTAAAGTATGTGTTAAAGTAATGATATTTTAGAAGGAAAATAAATTTTTTCTAAAATAGAATATTTGTTTTTTTTATTTTTAAAAAAGAAAAAATTATTTACCTTTGTTAAGTTGTATGTTGGATATATTTACTATCAAAACTAATTGTACAAACACAAACACACATTTATGCTTAAATCTATCAAGCATTCTATTACTTTTTAATTTGGTTAAATTTATGAAATGATGAAATTATAACTAAAAGTAAGTCGTATTGTTTGTTGATTATTCTTTGACTTCTCTCTTTCTCCCTCTCTTTCTCTCTCTCTCTCCTTTCCAGGGTATTTTTCTTCTTTCTTAAAAAAAAATATTTTCATTTCCTAGTTTTTGCATAGATTTATATAGCTAAGATGTCGTTCTTTCTTCTTTAATTTCCTCTACATCAGTATTATTATTATTAGCTACATCATTATCATTATCATTATTATCCATATCATCATTATTATTATTATCTTCGTCATCATAACATCCGTTATCATTCCACATCATCATTGTCATCATCCTTCACGTCATTATTTTTATCATCGTCACATCATCATTATCATTATTATCATCACATCTCGCTATTATTATCGTCTACATTATCTTGTTATCATCATCATCAAACGTAGCATAAAGTGTTTGGAATTGTTAAATGGAAGTGATAATATCATCATCATTATTATCATCACTCACGCCATTGAATTTAACTTTTCAACCTCGATTTAGATGAATTTTGAACTTGAATGAATTTCAACAAGTATTATTACCATTATATCTATATATCATTTCCAAGCGAATTTGAGATTATCAGTTTATCTAATTTTGTTAAAATCAAAAATGACTTGTTTGACCTCTCTCTCTCTGTTTCAGATGAGCTAATAATATTAATTGTTTGACCTCTCTCTCTCTCTCTGTTTCAGATGAGCTAATAATATTAATTAAAAGCAAAGTTTCTCTGTAGCTTAAAGTAATACACGTAATGCACGACATGGTCACGCAAACGTGTATCACATACGTGAGTTTTGATGTATGTATGCGAGATAACTAGTAAATATCATTTTATAATAGCTATTTGAAGTTTATTTTCAAAATGGAAAGCATATCTGTTCAACGAAGCGAATGAAGAAAATATTTGTTCCCTTTGTTTTGAACTTACAGTTAGTTCGTTGCAGTTGCTGCTATGTATACAGTAATAGTAGTACTTACCTTGTATAGAGTTACAGTTAGTTGCAGTAATAGTAGTACTTACCTTGTATAGAGTTACAGTTAGTTGCAGTAATAGTAGTACTTACCTTGTATAGAGTTACAGTTAGTTGCAGTAATAGTAGTACTTACCTTGTATAGAGTTACAGTTAGTTGCAGTAATAGTAGTACTTACCTTGTATAGAGTTACAGTTAGTTGCAGTAATAGTAGTACTTACCTTGTATAGAGTTACAGTTGGTTGCAGTAGTAATAACTGCAATAATAGTAAATAATAACAGTAGCGACAAAATGATAGCTTAAAAAAATATAATGATGTGTCGCACTTTTTTTAGTTTGATAGAAAAATGCATAATAATTTTTTTATACAAACGAATGTTATGCTGAGAGAGAGAGAGAGAGAGAGGGAGAGGGAGAGAGAGAAAAGGGAAGAATGTCATTATCGCGATAGTTTGGGAGATGTCATTATTGAGTGATTGCAACAAGAATCAATTATCGATGAAATAAATGTTTAACAGTAAGCCCAGCAATCCAATATTATCTTTACTTTTGTCTCAATCAATTTTATTTTTCTTTTTTTCTAAAGATTTGATAAATATATACTAATTATAGTATCGAATTATACTTACTAATTAGCTAATTAATGATTTTATACTAAAATGATAATAATGCTTTTCGATTAGTTAGGTAATTATTTTTTTCTTCGTCTTATTTTTATTTCTTGTTTCTTGCTTGTTGCTTTCTGTTTCATTAAAGTAATTAGTTTATTTACACTTATTTTACTTCATTATTATTTTTTTTTTTCTGGATTTATTTAATTTATTTTATTTTTAATTTAATCGATTATCATTGTTTAGGTGTTACTTAGCGTACTTTTCTTTATTTTTCTTTTCTCTTAATGCAATCAAAGAATCAATGAAGAAACTAAAAGTAATGATTTAATCCAAATAGTTAATATTATCGTTTACAATAATATATCATTTCATTTCATCCATTTCATATGATATTTGTCAACAAATTATTCTTTAATTATTACTAAGTTAGTTCGTTAAGTACAAATAGTATCGCGCAGTATACTGTAGGTAGGTAAAGTGCAAGAGAACATTTAAAAGCGCAAAATGTCACAGGAAGAAAATGTTATTTCAGTGGAAGCCATCCTTCATTTGCATCTCAGTAATTAGTGAGTGCTTCTTTCAGAGTATAGAAGAAATTGTAGCTTTTCTCTTCTTTCTTGACATAATTAAAAGTGGCTTTTATTGCTTATTGTTTATTTGGTACAAATGCATGAAATAGATTTGATTAATGAATTAAGTATGAAGTGAAGTGGTTTTTGGAAAATAAATTAGAAACGAATCACTGATTATCAAAAAGGATGCTTGTAATTTTAGGAATTGTTTAATATGGCTTTTAATAATTTCTTTCTTTTTGTTTGTCATTTATGTTTAATTAATTTTTAACTAAATATTTTTGAAATATTGAACATTTCTAATAATTATTTTGGAAAAGAAATTAATTCTTTTTTTCAAATATTGTGATAAATTTTAGATTTTTAAATTTAACCTTAAAAACACAAATTATTTATTAAAGCTGGACAAACTTACCTAAAAGATTAGACCTATCGTTATTTGCAATAGAAATGTTTTTGCAAGTATTGCATGCATGGTAATACCAATATGACAAGCATAATTATTATTATAATTTCCAAAATATTTCTCAAATGTACCTTTCAAGTTTGTGACTTAGAAATAACAAAAAAAGGAAAAAAAAGACAAATTTTTAACAAAAATTTTTGCTTTTTTAATGTAAGTTAAAAATTTCT